AGATACTCGTGTAGTTAAGAAACAGACACTGTAATTATATAGATATATCATTACTTTTGCAGGCGAAAGTAATAAGAGATGAAACAGAAATGTCTTTCTGATTGCGTATACGAAGAATAAAAAATGCGAACAAGAGATTGTTGAAGAAAAAAATTTGCAAAAAACTCGAATCAAAGATATTCGTGGGAGAATATCTAATGTTGTGGAAAAATATTCGAATTTTTATAACATTTTTCTTTGACGATTTTAAAATGTTTGTTGTCGTATTGTCTTTTTATACACAGAAGAAAGTCAGATTTAACTTTTCTTTGCATGCATACGTTAATCTCTTAATATTATCACGAGTTATGAAAGAAATGATGTACAGTCGATTAACTCCGGAGTGCACTTTTTTGCAAAAATATTTCGCTCTAATTAATCCGGTATAAGAGGCGGTTCTCGTGCTACGTAAAGCATCATCGCATTATAGACTCGCGTTATTGGCGACTAACAATGTTCATCGGTAATTTGAGACACGTTGATAGCAATAAAAGTAAGAATGCTGCCATGAAAAGAATCTCGGTAACGAGATGTCACATTTTTTGCCAATTTTATTATTAAATAGACAAAAATCACGTGTAAAATAAAATTTTGAAAAACTGCTCATGACGGGCTCATCGTTCCTGTTAACATTTACAAATTGTTATTCGATGATCAATATTATGTATTTCTCAGGCGTATAGCGTAGTTAATAGCACGGTTTATTCGCGATTACAAAATTTTATACCACACATAATCAATTTATACGTAAGTAACATTATAATTTAATAATGTAATCGATGTATAAGAAATTTCACATTTTCACACGATGAGTGGTAAAATTTAACAAAATCAGATATTTCTAAGAAAAGACATGCAATTATAACGTTTACTCTGAAAAAATTACTTTTTTTGAGAATAAGTAGTACATTTAAGAGTATAGTAACCCATACAGCATAACTTTATCCTGAGGATATCCCAAATTATCCCATATTGACCAAAGCGATCCCACGGATATTCCAAGAGAGTATCGTAAAACATCGTAAAATTTCATAGGATATCCTATCATATTGAAATCCTTTCATCACACAACATAGAAATGTTTTAAGGATGCCCAGAGTACAGCAAAGATGTACAATTGGAAAGTGTCAGAACTAAAAGATTAGAAATAAAAAATATATTTTGAACACAAACGATATGATTACGTGCCAATTAAAATATATCTCATATGAAGCTTACAAAGATTTTTACTATATTAAATGTTATACTAAGACTATAAATTATAAAGATGTGTGACATATGTTATTTCAAATTAATTATTTATTAATGTTGGTAGCTGCAACAGTTCCAGGACAGTCCTTTGGAAATTTTACACTGTCTGAGCAATATATAAGATAGCTGAAATTATGCAGATTGCAATATTAAGTGTTTTACAATAATATATTTGTGATATCTCACAGATGCCGTCTAAGACTTCCGTGGGATTTCTCACATACGCAAATACTTATACATCTCCTGGACATGCATTGGATAACTGAGATCATCCACGGATATCACAATATCGCGATATTCCAAAATAACGTCCGTTGGAAATTTCTAGGATAAAGTGTGCTGTGTGGCAAACCGTTTAAAAAAGAAACAAAATATCAAGTTATTAAAAAATGTATTATTAATATATTTAAAACATTTTTATTGTATTTTGAATATTCATTTTAATAATACTCGTAAAAATTTTTACTATGGGTGGTATGAATTACTATTCATAGTGTTACATTTGAGATTGTCTTAAGTATAATGTTAAGCTGTCATAAGCCAATTAGAAGGTCATTATATGTACAAAAATTTTAATCGTAATCGTAAGGCCGTAAGCAAATCAACTAATCACAGTCGAGCATTTTAAAATGTAAGCCTGTTCATTTTGACTGAACTTTTGCACTAGTTAAACAGAAACAGACCTCGTGAGATCGCAATTTTGATTGTGATTGGTCGATTTACTTGAGACCTTACGATTATGACTAAAATTTTTGTATGTGTAATGCTTTTATTATCTTAATAAGTTTTCTACAATAAGATATTACCTAAATCTTCTTAAACCATAGAAACCGTCTTAAGCGTAAGAAATTGACCAATTGCAGTTGAATGTGAGAAAAATATACAAGATTAGTTAATTTTTCTTAAAACAAGCTTAGATAATAGCTCATTGCAGAAAGCCCATTAGATATTACTTAAGACGATCTTAAAATAAGTTTCGAATAAGTGAATAAGGGGAAGTGTTGAATAAATTTGTAAGTAAGGTATAGGCAATTTAGAAGTTATTGACAAAGTGCAATGACATATATAACGTTCTATACAAGCATCGTGTGAACGGAGATTACAATCGTGCCAAGAAATAAAGATATTTTTTTATACGAATTGGTGTGTATAGCCGAAAAATGGTATTTAACTCTCGATGGAACGAAAGTAGCGTAGACAATCTGGTTAAAAATAAACTATTTCGCCGATGCAACAGCGAATTGGACGTACTCGGGATATCGTACTTTTCCCGAACAATTTTTATGCCCAGAAAATTAAACATCTTTCTGTTATTAGAGATGTAGGATCGCGTCTTCCTCTTTGCTCCTTTTCTACCGTACTTATATAAGAAAATAAGTAAATTTATCCTCGTTCGTAAGGATCAAAGTGTTTATTAGAATCGTTTCATAAGTATTTTTCAAACTCTATAATACACATTTTATAAATCCAATTACCAATTGTATTCTATTTTTTCACTTTCTCGCTTTAAATTATTTTCCTGAGTCTTATCGATTTATATACGAAAATAGGAAGTTGATCACTTTCTTTTATTATGCACGATAAGTAGTGTTTAATAATTAATATGATACCGTTAAATTGTAACAAATGGGGCTCCGACTTAGCAAAGTACGAGGTATTTTTTGGAAGTGTTTTATTTTCTTCTTCCTGCAATGGTTTTGATACCAAATGTTTTAGCTGGTATTAATAAATATACTTACATTTCTACATATGTAACGTTATGACATAAATGCATATACGTAAAAATGCGTATATTCCAAGATATGCGTGAATATAAAAGGTTGCGTATCGAACTGGATCCGAAAATACATCATATACACATCCTGTATTTATATAATATGTACATACATATTACGACGGAATACTGAAAACTATAACGTTTGTAACACTATGTAATGAATGTATGACAAGTATAATCGGTATTATTGTTGAGTTATATTCAGAGCTATGCGAATGCCCAAAAATAAAACAGAAAAAAATAACAGATCAAGTATTAACGTTTTAAGGATCATTACTGTTTGTGAATCTTCTTCCTTGTAAGAACATATAACATTGTTGGAGACTTGTAAAGGAAGCAAGAAAAATAAAGTCGGATATAACGAAAATAAACATGCTATTTTGACGTAAACCTAACGAGTTCCGTTAGTCATTAATAACTTAATTAGGATGTGTCCGGAATGAATTTAAAAATTGAAAAAAAAAAAGAGTATTAGTAGTACAAAAATGGCGTATATTTTATTCACGAGCCTTTACCTTTGTGCAGAATATTATATCAAATATATGTATATATTTTTCGTTCAAATACATATGTCATAATATTCATAATTTACTGATACGCGCAACATAGGTATATGTATAATTTAAATATATATACATATACATAATCTTTTAAAATCTCTTGAAAAAATGTATAGATTAGCATAACAGAAATATTTAATAATTTCATTATTTCTTAATTTACGTTTTCTTATTTGTTATTATCTTAAATATACATTAATCGTATCAAGAAAGCTCATCATTTAAATCGATAACATTTCAGTTAAAATAAATTTAAATGTATATCGCCATCATAATACAAAATTAAATACAGATCATTACATAAACGATTACATGATCTGTACTTAATTTTGTGTATTAAGTAGTATTTTCTTTAAACGCGAGAATTTAATTATTTTAGTTTATTATTTCATTGTAAATTCACTTATATATTAAAAGTAACATATTGAGTTGAAAAATTTTGTATAAGTTGTTTCGATAGAATATGGCTGATAAAAAAATTCCTAAAAAAAGTTTTTTATTTACCATCTATATATATATATATATGTGTGTATATATATATACACAAGTACAAACTATTGTTAAAATTTAACTTTCCTCGGAAAGTAAGTAATATCGGAGGGATGTTTTTTCGTTTATAATTATTGTTGCTTTGTCACCACATCTCTCTTGAATAGTCACCACATATAGAATCGTGATATCAAAAGCGAGAAATGACACGCTAATTTTTACTACTTACTATTTGTAAATAAAGACAATTTGGATAAATAAAAAATGATAAAATCCCTTTAAAATAATTGCAGAAATGAACAAAAACTGTATCCTTATTCTCATTGACAATCAGTAGTTAATTATAAAAAGTGATGAAAGGCGTATAAAGTGCTTTTATTCAATATATAGTCTATTTCATTTAAATGTGCCTTTTATCATTTTTTACGATTATTTGCTGATTAATTACTGTTAAGGAGGATAAGGATAGCTTTCATCTATTTTTACAATTTTATTTTATTTTATCCAAAATTTTTTTACAAATTACTTTATTTACAAATGGCACGTAATAAAAATTAATGTGTCATTTCTTCTTCTGACATCATTATTCAATATGGCTATGGTGACTACTCAAACTTAATGAAAAATATTAAGTAACTTCATACATAAATATGTTTTATAAATATTGATATATATACGTATATCTATTCTTTTATAAAAATTTATATCTACGTAACTTTATATATAAATTCAGTATAATAAACAAAAAATATTAGAAAACGTATAAAAAACTTGAACAATAAATCTAGAATCTGAATTATAAATAGAAGATTTTTCATTAAAAAAGGCTGATTTGTACTGCACTCGTTAAAATTTCGTGTAACGATCTTATTTAACAGGTCGTCTTCAACATACATGCTGCATTTGGCGATTGGCCACCAGCCAGCAGACAATTGGATCACGGGTAACGGTTTCGCGTTGGTAATTGCACCTTGATTCGTCGTTTGTACGTGCGTGGTGAACGCGACGCCACCCGAAATTCTAATGGTAAATCGTAACAGCGGCAGGTACAACAACTAGGAAACTTGAACCAGTCACTGAAAATGCCGCGGCACTCATTGTTGGGATCATAAGCCAATAGCCGATGCAGCCGATACTGTTGCTCGCATCTGCATCCATCCCGGCAATGCATTTGCTTGTTCTCGAATCTGCGACAAAATCGGAAATTTTTTAAATGGAATAAAAACATAATACGAGACGAAGAAAACCATTTAACACAAACGTTTTAATTTTGTGTGTTTAGATTCTTTTTTCGACTAAAGATACAAATTAAATTATAAACATTTATTTCTTTTTATTTTTTATTTTTTTTATCACTTATTACATTGATATTTCTTTTTTAGGAATGACACGATACTTACGTGCATTTTTCCCAATGAACATATTGCTCAAAGGGATACAGATTCAGGAGAGCTAAGATTTCACCACGAGTATTGGTGGCCCAATAAGGTGCTACGACCTCTTCCTTGACCTCACAGGCGTTCCTGCACAAAATGATTCGATGAATTCTTTTTTCTTATATTGTATATATTGTACTTTATATGATTTTTCTCTCATTTTTAAATTAATTACTAATTTTGTATAATCTTTCAATTTTATATAATTTGTTTTTATATGTTTAATTAAAATTTTTTTCTATTTTAGTTTGGTATTTCGATTTAATAACTCAGATTATTACAAAACATTACGAAATGAATTATTGTACTCACGTTCCTATACGCTTTAGTACTTGCTCCTTCTGATCTTTCTCTACGTCCTGATAAAGCTGTCCCCCAGCACTTGTCGATGCCTCGACCACGCCCAATGGCCGATATTCAGGACGTGGTCTGAATTGTTGCTGTTGCTCATAACTCGCTGCGGTTATTAAATCTTCATGCATTGTCATCTTCGTAGCAAGGTCAGATACATCTTCCTCTTCCTCTTCCTCCTCCTCCTCTTCTTTCTCCTTCTTCTCCTCTTCTTTGACCAGCTCTTGATTGACCAGTGATTCCATGGGGTCACCCGTTGTCGTTTCGACTGGTTCCATGATGTGTGTTATGTTCTCTTCGATCATTTTCTGTAAATACGCTTCTATTTCTGGTGCTTCCAGATCATTATTGGAGGAGGTTCTGTCGTTCTGCCCTGGAATCTCATTAATGCTGAAATTTTGTTCTTTGACAATCTGGACCACTGTAATGCTCGGCGATGCTGCCATCGTCGTGCTATTCACCGCAAGATTACTATCAGTAACCTTGGCAGTGACGTTTGAAAATTTGGGAGAAGTTGATACTATTGAAGTTTCAGTCTTGATCTCCTCCGTGCTCGTAACGGTAGCGGCAGTAAACGAGGGCATTGTCGAAGACGATGTATGCGTAACGAAAGTTGTAGCGCTAGTTGATGTCGAAGACAAAGTTGTAGAGGTAGTAGTCGTGCTCGGGGTGGTCGAGCTAGTAGTTCGTTCGGTAGGCCTGAAATGTGGCCTGGTGTATTCGCTGAGCTTCGAGAACTTGGTCATTTGCTTGACGATGGGATCATTGAAAGAGCGACTGCTAAAACTGCGACCTTCGTACTCGCCTTCGTTAACATTCGCCCAATTGTCATCAATGAATTCGTAATCATTGTCATATTGGAATTGTCTGAAAATTATTACACATAATAAATTTGTTTTGATTTATAAAAGAATGAAACGCAAACTGGCTAGCAAAAAAGATTTGCATGGTGTTTTGTACAACAAATCTACCATTCTTCATTATAAAAATAAAATTCGAAAAAAATAATATGCAGCAAGTAACAAAATGACTATTTTTTATTTATTTAATATATATCCTTATACCAAAATTTATTATAAAAAGGATAGCTCCTTTTAATTTATCCGCAATCTCAAGGTCGGACTTCTTCGTAGCTTAAAAAATCATTAACGATCATCAAAAAATTATTAACAAAACAATTTTTATAAATGCTATGCAATTTTTTTTAATAAAAGGTACGTATTTCAGTAGTATAAGACGAGTCTCGTTCCACGTGATATTTTACCTTGTCCCAAAAGATAGAGAGGAAGTGAGGTGGATATCGCTTAATAGTTAATAAAATTTTTATTTGTAAGTGAAATAAACAAGAAATCATGTAAAAACATATTCGCTCTGTTAAATCAAACAAAAAATTGTTATACTGCTTGAATATAACAATGTATTTTCTTTCTAAATTATTATCTCGAGAATCCTAACACACACACACACACACACACACACACACATACACACATATATGTATATATTATAAACATCAAATCATATGAAACATCACGTGAAATAGATTCAACCCATATAGTGTTGAAATATGTACCTTGTATTAAAAAATTGCATTGTAATATTGTATAATATTTATAAAAATTGTTTGGTTAATAACTACTTGATGAACAGGAACTTGATGAGCGACGGAAAGGGTCAATGGCCTTGACCTACTTGAAGATCAAGGTTTAGGTCAAGGTAACTCGGAGGTCATTTGGAACTGACAGTGTCTCGGAGAGTGTAAAGGGAAAGTAGTACTAGAATCTTTAATATGATTGAACCGCTTTTAAGTTCAAAGACCTCATAAGAATAATGCATGTCAGTGATTTCTGCTACTAAATCTCTCTTACTCAGCTTTTGTATAAATCGCTATCTTGTTATATTTTAAGTTTCGATACTTGATTCGTTTAATTCTTTATCTAATCGTTTGTTTTCTTACATTACAGGAGTAACAAATTCGGCAAATAAATGAATGTATCAAACATTATGAAGCTTAAAATATTTATTACGAGATACTTATTGATTTATACGAGAGACTGACAATGAATAGAAGAAGTTTGAGAAATTTTTCAAGAATGCACTGATAATTAATATGGAGTCGCAAAAAGCTTTTAAACTTAAAAGGCGGTTCAATGCAATTATGTTGAAGATTTTAGCAGGTGTACAGGTAGACCGTATTATTCATTTATTATCATATATTTACCTTATATACATATATATATATATTTATTCATTTATTTCTTAATTAATATAAAAAATTAGAAGAAAATTTTAATCGGGAGAATGTACAGTAAGCACGAGAAACCCCATAGCATGCTACACTTCTGCGTGCTCCAAATAGGTATAATTTAATTGATCATTTTAATCGTTAATGATTCGGTAATAGTCTGAGTCAAAATTGAGAAAGAAACTTTAGTTTAAAATTTCATTCTTCTTCGCTGCTAGAAATATTAATTAAGATATATAGGCATCCTGTATGTATCTTAAATGAATTTATCAGAAATGTAACTATAATTATTTTCGGACTTACAACACAATTAATCTAAAATATTAATAATCCCTTAAATTTAATTAGAAACTGAAAGCCTGTAAAGAACTTACTGCGAAAAGTATAATATTACTTCGACCAGGATATATCTTACTCTTATAAAATTTCAATAATACAAAAACTGTATAATTAAATTTTATTTTATTTAACTACCACACTAGATTTGCCATTTTGATATTTTAAATATTGATTTTTTTAAAGTAATTGATCCCAGAAACTTCGATCCATATACTAAGATTCAACAAAGTATGTTAGAAAAATTGTGCAATAAAAAATTAAAGTGTATGTTAAAATTACATCTGAAACTTTGAAAATCAAAGTGAGAAGAATTTATTATTAATACTAAAATATTGTCAAAAGAAACTGCGAGAAAGCTACCTTAGATCGTCGGTGAAATGATGATGGTACTCGTAAAACTTTAGCTCAATATCGTTCTTTTCAAGTTCCGTTCGGAGGATATTGATGTAATTCTCGTCGCCGTACATGCGTTTCATCAATCCCTGATTCTGTTGCACAAACTGACGTACCGCGTGCCTACGAACAAACAGCATGACTCTGTGCTAATAAGATGGATAAAATGTACCACGTAAATTTTTTTTAGATTCAAGTTTTAACAGTAAAAACTAATATGTCCTTTATTTCAAACGCAACAATCGAAGCGACAGCAACATCTAAGAGTTTTTAATACTTATTTATTTAATAAATAAACAAATTTAAAAAATTGATAAGAATATATCATTCATTTTATTATTTTTAATCCTATAATCATCTATTTTATTGGCTAAATGCAGTGTAATTTTTGTTTTTTAATTTCTTTTTTCTTTTTCTTCGTAGATTTGAAAATTCCTTTTATAAAAACAAAAAATGCAGTCTGTAAGGTGGAGTTTATACCAAGAACAAAAAGAAATTTTTGAAATTGTATCTTTACATTTCTTAGTTTTTAATATGGCATCTAGAGCTGTCAACATCATGACAACATTTGTTTGATATAAAAGCTTTGCAAAAAATTAATAAGCTAATTAGGTATATCAAAACAAAATTTCATTTACAATATGAAATATTCGATATAAAAAAATCGAGAAAATGAAGAAGGATCAAGATTAACAGCTGCTCTCGCATTTTAAATTTTATAGGAAACTTTCGGCTCACTTTGATTTGTTTGATTGGACGACTGACAACGTCAAAACTTTCGCCACGGACAAATCAAGCATGCGCGCGAGTGTTCTTGTGTACGAATGTCGGACCGGCGAAAGTCTCGAGGAGAGTTTGATCAGAAGAGATGAAGCGCAAATGGATAAAGTACCAAGGATAAGAGGTACCAGGGATCGTGCACCAGTTCTGTCGGCGAAAGTCACAGGGTAGAGCTTCGTGATGGGCGCGTTTCATGCGCGAGTACGGCTTGCTGCAGGCCGAGGAGGCGTCATATCCGAACGTGCTCGGTCCACCGCCACCACCGCCACCGCCGCATTGACATCTCGTCAGCTGCAATGCAATCACCTGCAATAAAAACAATCAACTACGTAATGAATGTCTTTTCTTATTTGATCAGTCCCTTAATTTCTCGGAAAAAAAAATATAATTGATGGACGAACGAATAGTGCATGACAAAAATTGAGTTGTCTAATAAAAGTAGGATTTGAATCTTTCAATCAAAACTCGACATTAAAATTGACGTTGAATTTCTTTATTTTTATAAAATTGTCGGAAATTTTAAAAGTATATATATATGTATACAAGATGTCCTATTTTATTAACTTTCACATCAAAATATTTTTAAAGAATATAAAACAGAAAAGTGTTTCAGACGAAAGTTACATGGCATAAAATGATAAAATTAATTTTCAAAAAAACGATTTTTCGTGATCATACGATGGTTATGATCATTTTTTAAATAGAATTATATATGATTTCTTTTATATATGATATAACTTCTCTAACTACTCTACATGTAAAAGTATTAAGGTAAAGATATCGAAAAATCAATAATTTTTTACGAGATATATTTTGTATTTTATATTTTATTTTTGCATATTTCGACATAACATACAAAATATTTTCTAAACTCTTTAGTCATATTTTAATAAATATATACCTTAAATACTTGTATAGACTAATGATCGAGATACCATGTTGCTTAATAACTGATAAATAATTGCTAAATGTGAAATACGAAACAGTCCGTGAAAACTATCAATGTGTGCCTCTCTTAAAATCTAAATATAATTAAATAATTAATATGTGTCGATCTTATTATTTAAATTCCGAAATACAAAAAGCTCTCAATCCTTTCGATTTTAAATACAAAAGTATACATAATTTGACATGCTCCGCTGAAATATAAAATACACAAAATATACTTATATTGCAAATACTGTTTTAAATTTAAATAAAAGTATTTCAAATACATGTCTCCAATCCCATAAGCTTATACAATTACAATTAAAACACACATTAGTAATTTACACAAATGGTTTCACATTCAACAATATATAGGTTTAAATGATACCTATAATATATATATAATTGGAAAAAAATTAACTAAAAACAAGAGATATAAACTAATTACACTAAAACCAAATTCTAGATTCTTAAAAATTAAACATAATAATTTCTAAATCAAATGTTTGTCGTTTTCTCTTCCACAATTCATTCTTTTCTCATGAAAAAATTATATGACATTCTCTTCATTCGCATTCGCGAAAGAAACAAGAGGATATTATTCACTATTCATTCATATCACTCACCTGAAGAACGAAGAGCACAATTGCTTTCATAACTCGCCGGGATATCTTAACTCGCTGGTCCAGTGGCTGGACCCGCGTGTAATTCTTGACAACCGACAACTAACGTTCAAACTACTCGCGTGTCCCACACTCACGCGTGGTCACTCAGGTAGAGAAGAACAACAACAACAGCAGAGCAGTAGCGGCTATCGGCCTCATTGATGGCCTCAACGAGAGGATGCGGCAGAGAAGACACGCGACAGAAACGTCGGAGGAGAGGCTACATGACAGGCGGCGGCGTACACCTGCCTACCGCGTGCAAGCAGGCCGCTTTCATTACTGCCCGTAATCAGCCGCGGCCCGGTCGACCGTCCGCCCATGCGACGAGGCGACCCGTGTGGCGATGCTCTTCATGTGGAAGAAAAAGTGTAGCCCGCCAGCGTACGGGAGAGAAGATGCTATACATGCGGCAGTGGCGGCCGACTGTCTCACCTCACCCAAGTCCTGGCTCTCCAGATTTTCGGTCGAATAGAATGCGACCGCGATCGTTTAGACGAGATCTTTTAGTTTCGCAGAAGCGACCCGAAAATGAGAGGTCTTGCTTAAATAATTACTTTTGCTCAAATAATTATCTTACTTAAATAATTATACTCAATTATTTAATTACAATTGCGCAACAAGTGGGATTATAGTATTCGAACGTTGCGTATGGCGATAATGCTATATATCTCTAAAGGTAGTCCAACTTCGGTTTCTTTTTTATTTTCTTACGAAAGAGACAATGGATCTTTTCTCGATCGGAAATGGACAAGTTTTTTACGATTGTAGAATTGCCCTTTGAGCTCCATATCTTCACGTGATTACAGAATAGTGCTTTGTACTCAGACCCAGCTGAAATATTCGGCCCTGGACGAAAGGAGAGTCCACGGGAAAGACGTGTAACGAAGAGAGGACGAAGGAGGAAGGATCGAGAGAGCGAGACTTCGTTGAGAGTAGGTCATACCGGTGAGTACCGTTATAGTTGCCGCCGCTGATCTGTGTCACGAGGACCCTGCCAGTGACGTAGTCTGGGTGCCAACTTGAGTAGTACTGAAACAGAGAACCTCGAGACCGTCTATAGCTACATATCATCCGGAGCAACACGTGATAAATATTTTAAAAATCCAGGAATGTCTCAAGACTGCTAATTATATCTTGTGCGAAAAAAAAACCCCTCTTTTAAAACCCTTAGAAGTTTTAAAGAATGTTTAAAGCTTCCCAGCGCACTTTTGGAGCGTGGAAGAGAAGACTCATAGGATTATATAGTTTTGTAGTCCCAGAGACAACGTCGGTCGTTAGTATCATCATCGCGCAATGCGCACTTAGGTGGTGACGAGGTGTTTTGCTCTATGTCAGAGAGAAAAAGCCTACGCCACTGAACGAGCATCTATACAAAAAGATACGCTGGGATGGTCATAAATAGCGATTTAAGGTTTACGGCGGGACCCGCCGCGCGCGCGCACTCAAGTTATACCTACGCGGTCTACTGACCTCAAAAGCACTGTCACTGGACAAGTGACTCTTTCACTGAATTTCCTCGCTTTTGAAGATGCCGCATTACTGATCACGCCCCTTCTGTATGTTTCGCTTTTGAACACCTCTTGACCGAATGATGCTCAGTGAATCGAGGTTCCAGTTTTACCCAGAGAACTTTATATAATCGTTATTTTAAAATTATCTTAAAATTTCAAAGATATATATATCTTTTGAAAATGATCAAAAATTTATATTTAAAATTTATAAATGATGTTTTCAAGACACCTTGTATATTTCAGACACTTTTAAATGTTATTTTTAAAACCACCTTATATATAGAACCGTTTATAGCGTATGTAATTTCGGTCGATGATATAGTTTAGAATATAGTTTAGATGATAACACGCGTAAACACACATGTAAACAAAAAGAAGAGTTAATAAGTGATAAATAGGTATATTAATAATGATGTAATACGTGCATAATATTAGTACGACAGCACGTTTAACGTGACATTTGTAATAGCAATTTCATTTATTTGTTTAAAATTTTATATAATTAATGTTAATGGGCAAAGGCTATATGCGTGCATGACGCACATATTTCTTATACGACGCATCTAAGACCGGGCTCATTCCCAGACAGCATAGAATATTTATGATAAATTTATTACTATTCACATTTTTTATATATTTTATGTAATATTAGAGTAATAAATTTAAATAAATATTTCTAATAAGTATTTTTTTCTTGTATTATAATTTTTATTAATCTTATATCTTAATTTTTATTAAATATTTTCATAGCATTTACGACACAATTACAATAAATGTTCATAGTATTTATAATAATAAATATCATATATGTTTTATGATTTATATGCAATATCTAATATTTTGTAAATATTTTATAAGTATTATGTGGATTAACACAAGAAGTAAAAGTTGGCATTATATTTTTGAGATAATGAACATTTTCTGAGACGTTGCACAAGACGAAAATCGAGTAAGTACCACATATAATACATACATATAGCGAACATACTAACAGCCGAGTGTATTTTTACTCATTTCAATAAAAATCAATTTTTGATCCATAATAGTGTCAGGATTAGTTGAAGGAATCAGAATTATTAAAGTATACGCTTTAATAAGAGAATGGTGAAGTGACAATTTGATCGCAATGTCGGGTACAGACTTTTTAATTCTAAATTAAAAATGTCGATAACACGAGTGATATCTTAATTCATTTCAATTATTGCGAAATTTTTCATAAATTTATACGATATGCCATTATTTCTAATGTTTTTGCAATGTGCCTATCGGGATTATTGTACCAGAGAACGGGATTATATCAGACACGTATGCTTTTGTGATAAGTATACATATATATGTATAATACATGCAATGAGATTGATCGTTTCAATACTATTAAGATATAAGCAATTAAAAACTGCATATTTTTTATACGTCGCCTACACAAAGTTCATAAAAATGTCGCGTTTATTTTTGTAGAGCCTAAACTAACAGAGTAATAGCAAAAGGCATAGTTACTGCATAGTTAATTACTGCCTTGCTATTTTCTTAAATATCTCCTAAAATAGTGATCAAACAAAAAAATGTTTCCTTCAGAAGTTACTTGTTTTTTTACGTGAAATAAGATTCTGTAATAAAAAATATACATTTTCATTTAAAAAAACAAATTTGACCTTTAAATTACGTTGAAAACGCCCTCCAAATAAAAAATTGAGGGTGCCATTCTCTTTCCCCCTCAAAATCATGGAACACATGTTTTAACTTTTTTTTGTATCTTTTATATTTTTTGAGATAATCAGCTGGAAAGTTTTCAAATGAACGCCCTGTATATACGTCCCTACAGCAAGCCTGCAAGCGCAACTATTCAAAGAATGGCTGTGTTCAGCAGAGAAAGTAGCTTTTTGTAACTGTTGTAACATTTTTCAATACGATTGGTTCTTGCTTTTAGTTCTCTATCTAAATGTATAAACTAATCGTATTGAAGAATTGTACAATTGCAAAGCTGCTTTTTCTGCTGAATACAGCCAATATGATATAAAGTGTTCTATTCCTAAGAGCTATTTATATAATCGATTCTTATATTTGAGAATATGTTTTGAATCTGTTCTCTGCGTAAGGTCGCAAATCGTAAGCCATAAGAAATTAATTAATTATAGTCAATTTTATTTTTTTTTTTCATATTCAACTGTGGTTGGCCATATAATTTCTTATGCCTTACAAGTTGCAATTCTATTGTAGAACAGGCTTTTAATAGAGTCTTAGATATACAAAAGAAAAGCGCGACTGAGATCGCCAAAGTACTAAAAATAATATTAAAAATAGTGTTGTTTACAGATGGACTTATAAAATCAACCAATCATTTATTAAGTAGCCATTTGTAATAACAAGAAATCAGTTTCATAATTGGCTGCTACGTCACATAATTGCGTGCTAACCAATCAGAATACTTAACACCAGTCGAGTGAACGCTCGCTGTTATTGGTGTATTCTTTTAGATCATCCAATCAGAATTTTAGATCTAGGAGAATGCACCAATAATAGCGAGCGCTCAATTAACTGTTAAGTCCGCTAAATGCGCCCAATGGGTGCATTCAGAAGCACGACCGCTCATTGAGCGCTCAGTGAGCTCTTGTATACTTCTGGATTCACCCAATCAGAGGACTGCATTAGCATTTTAAGACAATTATGCGCAATAAAAATTGAAATACCTTAGGGCGGGTTCACACTTTGACAGAAAAGCGGAAAGCGTAAAAGCAGTAGCCAATCAGAACTCGCGTTGGTAGTAAGTAGTACAAAACTAACAGAAAGTTGACTACCAGCGCAAGTTTTGATTGGCTACTGCTCTTCCGCTTTTCCGTCAAGGTGTTGAACCCGGCCTTATTCTATCTTTTTTCTGCAAGTACCGAGCAATAATGATAGAATGAAGTTTACAGCTCGGAGCGTGAAAAACGAATGCAGCCCTTATATTCTGAGTGCATTCCAACGCTCATGGAATCATTTTCTTATTTTTTATCAAATGTTAAATAAGGATAAATAATACGCCCGTAATTCCATAAAGATGAAGCGCCGAATGGAACGCACCTTTTTATACCTACCATAAATCAATCAGCGTGAAGAAAACTTATAACAGACACAACAGTAGCAAAATAAACATTCTGCTGAACGCAACCATAAAAGCTCTATATTAAACGGTGTAACTCTAACCTATATACATTTTGATGGATTTGTGATTATTAATGGATAGTTTTAATAAATAAACGGATACTTCCACTATCAACATCAAGATCGAAATTGTACTGTGACCTAGATTAGATCTTGGGTTTTGTGATCTGTAATAGTTCTGTCTACAAGCATGTCATAAGGAGGCACATGTAGTTATATTGAATGTAATTTGTCACATTATTATTATATTTTGATAAAAAAAACTTAGCCGAAAGGATTAAAGTAAACTTACTAAATTATTCCAGATTGCTATTTCTATTACACTGCAGATAAACAGAAATCTCTTTCTAAATGAAAAAATGTCAGCTCTACTCTTCTATACTTTATTTTATTTTCTGATGTCCGGATGTATCATCTATCCGCCCACGGAATTTGTCTCAGCAGGGTTGACCGTCAAGGACGTCTTCGCAAATTGGCTTGGTAGTGAAAATGAGTTTTTCATACAGTATCATATTAGGAGGACTGTAGCCACATTACTTCTACACTCTGCACTACCTCTGGGTAATAGATATATTTTTCTCTAAATATATCCAGTCGTCCACTTTCACATTATTTTTACAAGCATTTATAACATAGCTTTTTTTGTACAGGCTATGTTCTAGGATTGCTTTTCTTCGATCACATAGATCCTGGAAAACTATTGTTAGTGGATGGAAATTATCTTGGACCATTGATTGTTCTTTGTGTCACGATTGGTCCGCTTTATATACTGAATAAAGTCCTCGAGTGGTCAGCACATGATTGGGCCACACATCCAATAGCGCAAAATCTATCTGTGTATTGTAATAATAATACACCATGGACAGCTGTTGCTTCGGACATTAATACAGAGTATCGAAGGTTCATTCAAATAGCTAGCTTATACTTAGGAATTTAAATCACACGCATACATGTGTAAGTACACCTAGTATTTATACTAAAATAATACAATTTTATTTTAGAATAGATAAAATTGTTATTATCACAAATAGCGTAACTCGTGTCGTAGCGACGGACAATTGGATTATTAAAATCACGCCTTATAAATTGCAAGTGGCTCATCAAAGTGATGCGACTTTAGTCGTGAATAAGAGTGACATACATTTTATGTCGCCGACTACGAGAGATCAAATACAGTTTATCAATATACAGGTATAACAATAATTCATAAATCACTTCCAGTTGTTTTAAGTGGATCAATGATACTGATCCATGTATCGTTTTCTAGGTGAAACCTATGCGAGCTATGGCACAGGAGTTTGACATAAGATTAAATGCATTGGATTTCAAGGATCTACAGGACAAAGTTTCAAGACCAATTGCTATACTGCATAATATAACGTTCCATAGAACCTTACTCGATAGATTTATCGATACTTTTAAAGAAGAGGTCGATAAAAACCCATTCTACGATACTGCTGAGGTATCAATGATACATTGTTAACATCTCAATTATCAACAATTATTTGCTCTAGTCTGTTTGTCTTCAATTATTAATTCATACTTATATAGGAGTTGGGTCAATGTATCGGATGTATGCAAGCATTGTCAAATATAAAATTGAATAGATTATGCAATAATGCCGATAGCAGAGACCTTGACGATTGCACGACATGTTATTGCCGTCCAATGTGGTGTATAGAATGTATAGCGAAATGGTTGATACCTTTTACTTTTATTATTTTAGATTATTTTTAATTAGATCATGTATATTCAGATATTTTTAAATCATTATTACTTAAACAGGTTTGCCTCGAGACAAGATGAGAATGCACCAGAAACGTGGCTGTCCTCCAAATGTACCTGTCCTCTCTGCAGAGCACGATTTTGTGTTTTAGATGTATGTCTTGTAAGAAATCCTAGTAATTGATATCAAAATGATATGCATTATTTTGAACTGTTCTTATGAAATAATTCTTATTTGTATTAATTTTAATACAATTTTTTTAAAAATATGTAAGATTCATTTAGATAAATATTTTTTTACGTGAGTCGCATATATTGTTCTTATAAAAAGTTCACTCATTACGTAAAAGTTAATGGATAAATCAACTTTTGTGAGATTAGTGATTAGTAAAATAAAAACCAATTTACTTTAATATCACAAAAACTGATAAACATCAAATATCATGAAGTTTGACATACTATAAAGATACATACAAAGATTACTATTTTAATAATAATAAATATCTGCTGAGGCAGTAATTTAAACTGTTTGTAAAAAGCTGTTTATCAATTTGTCTCGAGTTTCATTGTACAACACTGCAATTTGTACATACAATGATAACTGGACAATACTTATTTTACATAAAATAAATTATTTACAGAAAACTTAATGTATCATTAGTCTAGGTGCGATATTCATTGCCATTAATTCCTGGAAAAGTAACTTCGCTGCATACGGTAGTCTAATTTGCGAAATTTGCGTCTTGTTTTTACAACCTTTACATTCAAAAGTGTTATTCCGCAAATTCGCTATAGCAATTAAACCACAGAAATTACAAATGTGAATTCTATATGGGTCTGATACTTCGAACAAACGTTCTCGTAGAAATTGCGCTGCACCGTGAGAAATTTGACAATCTCGTTCCATCTCTCCAAAACGAAGTCCACCATCCCTAAATAAATATACAAGCATATATATAATGTGTGTGTGTGTGTGTGTGTGTGTCGCGCGCGCGCACGTATCAGGGTTGAATAAGTTAACTTTTTTTTTAACTATAAGTTAAATTAAAATTAATAGTTACATTAAAATTTAATTTACAAGGGAAATGTCACAAATATAGCCAATTGCAGCCTATGTTTAAATAATCATGTGTCTAGAGTTTTTTTTTTGCTATACGAGCGCTGTAGTTGGTGGTCAATCGCAATATTGTTAAATAAATCCCTCTCATCACCTGTGAATATTAGTAAATATTCATCAAAGTTTACTAATACTATCGTACGCGCAACTCACGAATAAGTGTCCGTCTAAACATACGTCTGTAATTGACATATGTAAACCATTATTATTTAAAAAATTAGTGCTCAAAACAAAAATTTATGAATAATCTTTTTACTTAATTCTCTGAGAAAAGAACGTTCTTGCTATAGTATTTTAAGTCGCAAATTTTATGACATCCTGTGTATGTGCATGTATACACACGTGTATGTATGAAATAGTGTAACAAATTATAACAAGAATAACAATTACCTCGCTCGTCCCTCCATAGGTTGTCTAACTAAAATTTGCACAGGTCCTCTTGCTCTACTATGGATCTTGTCGTCTACCATATGCTTCAAACGTTGATAATACGTCGGTCCTAAAAATACTTGCGCGTTGATTTTACGACCCGTATGTCCATTATACATTACTTCATTTCCTCGCAATTGATATCCGTATTCTTGCAAAAGCGTGGAAATTTTTTGCACGTTCACTGCGTCGTTAAACGGAGTAGCGTCACCAATCTCTCCTAAGAATATATCAAATTTGCATAAGCATGCTTTATTTTTATTCACGCTTCAGTAAATTATCGTATTACCTTTATTGGCAGAAACTTTCCCTTGAATGCATTCAATCAAGTGACCAATAGTCATACGAGAAGGAATAGCGTGAGGATTAATAATAATGTCGGGTGTAAGACCTTCGCAAGAGAACGGCATGTCTTCTTGCCTGTACTGAATTCCACATGTACCCTTTTGTCCGTGACGCGAAGCAAATTTGTCACCGATTTGCGGAATGCGTACACTGCGCACTCGAATCTTGCAAAATTTATATCCTTCGCTATTTAATGTCAACATTACCTGATCAACAATACCGGTCTCGCTGTTTCGCAAGAAGGTCGACGCATCACGTTTTGTAAAACGTTTTGTTGTACTATCCAGCTAAAAATAAATAAAAAGAAATAAATTATTGCTATCATCTTTTTCTTACATTAATGAAGTCTATTTATTGAAAAATTAAAAATTAAAATGAGGTTTTACCTCATCGTCCGTTTCTGGCAAAGTTATCGTTTTTCCTATGATTACGTCGTCGCCAGATACTCGAATTCCAGGTGCAATGATCCCGTCATCGTCCAATTTGTCATATATAGCGTTGCGCATTCCTGAACAAGTTAAGCGCGAGGGTTTCTCGAATTGTTCCTCTTGGTCGCCGATCTTCTTCGACTCGGATTCCTTGTAAGAGCGATAAAACACCGATCTAAAGAAACCCCTCTCAACGGCACTCGCATTCAGGATAACGCTGTCTTCTTGATTGTATCCCGTGTAACACAGAATTGCAACAATACTGTTAATGCCAGCCGGTAATTCGCGAAATCTAAGGTACTCCATAGATCTCGTTGTAACTAATGGTTTGTGAGGATAATATAGTACATGAGCCAAAGTGTCCATGCGCACATGAAAGTTTGTAATGTATACACCCATAGCTTGTTTACCCATAGCACTCTGAAAAATAATAGCTTCTATGTATTACAGCTCGTAAAAAAGCATAAACGTTTTTCAAAGAAAATGCAGCAACTAAAGTCTATTGCAATAATACCTGATAGGTGTTCCTAGGACTCTGATTATGATCGGGGAATGGTATAATGGAAGCGCACACACCCAAAATCATCGCTGGATGAATCTCGCAATGTGTGTACGTTGTACAATATGCGTATTCTTTCTCTTGTCTAAGATCATCGGGTGACATAGCTATCATAACAGTTTCTTCCTCGAGGGTATCTATATATTCCACCACTCCGCTACCTACCAATTCCTGCCACCTGTAATATTATACAAATCGAACGTCGTAACATTTATAAAAACAGAAGATTCAAAAGCAGGTATGTCGAGCGCTTACCCGTCATTGTTGTAATCTCTTTCCTTCAACATGTTAATATGTCTCTTCTTCAGTAATAAATTTTGACCCTCCACTATGAGCAAAGGTCTGCTGATTCTACCAGCGTCCGTGTATATCCTTATCTCACGGTCTCTAATATCGCGGACCATCGATACCTCCGACACGATAATATCCATCTGCCTTCTCAATTTGCGTAAAGTGGCCATCAATTGATCTGGATCCCGATGGATACCGACCCAGCATCCGTTCACGAATATCTTTGTAGCATCGGCAATTGCGCTCGGTGCTATCTCTTCCAGATTCTCCATGGACCATTCCTCCAAGAATTCCAGAATAGGAGATGGCTGCGATCCAACGCTTATATACGCCATCAGGGCCAGATTTTTCACTAGTCCTACAGCGGCACCTTCAGGAGTCTCCGCAGGGCAGAGCATACCCCATAATGTGTTGTGCAATTGACGTGGTTTGGCAAGTTTACCATCTCTTCCAATAGGCGAATTTACTCGTCTTAAATGCGACAATGTCGACGCGAAGGTCAACCTATTCAATACCTGTGACACACCTGCCCTTGCCTGATGCGCTTTCTTCTGATCGCCCCAGTTACCCGTGGCAAGCGAGTATCTCAAACCGTCCGTTATAATTTTCGTCTTGATAGCCAGCTCGAGATTAAAGTCCTTCCCTCGATCTATAAACTTCTGTGCGTACAAACGTACCTCCTTCATTAGGTTCTTGAACAAACCTCGGAATAAAAATGCCAGCAGAGGCCCGGCCAAGTCCAATCTCTTATTACCGTAATGATCACGGTCGTCCAATTCCCTTCGTCCTAGAGATGCCGACAATAATCTATGAACCATGTAACCGAGGAAATAAGCCTTCTTGGTTTCACAAAAATCGCTTATGCCGACGTGCGGCAGCATCTCCTTTTGCAAGATTTCTCGGGCGTATTTAATGCGCTTCTCCTTTGTTACTCCAGGCTTGGCACCTCTAGTACCAATAAAATTCAAAGCAACGTTCTGTTCCTGTATGACGAAAGCTTCATCCAAAGATGGCTTCACCATTTCCATCATCTCAGGGTCATCAAAATCGTAAATAATATGTTCGAGAATATCGCGATCAGCCACAAATCCGAGTGCTCGAAAAACCACCATTATTGGGATTTCCTGCTTGATATAAGGAATAATGGCAATAATGCGTTGGCCTATAGCAGACTTTTTAATGCTGGCACCACTCTTGGCCATCATATTGATCCATAGAGTCGAAGTCGGACGAGAACTGTGTTCCAAGCATGAGCGTATTTCTGCCTTGTAAGCATATTTACCATCTTTCATGCTGAATACGTAGACGGTATTTGTCGCCATTTTTTCCTGAGCTATAAGGACCTTCTCTGAGCCATTGATAATAAAATATCCGCCGGGATCCAACGGACATTCGTTCAGTTCCGTCAAGTCGCGATCTGATAAGCCGGCGAGTAAACAATACTTTGATCTTAACATAATCGGAATTTTACCGATAAATGTTTTTTGATGTTGTGTCTCAACCGGATCTTCACCATCCTTCTCGATCGTCTTAGTGATATCCACGTACAATGGTGCAGAATATGTTAAATTTCTCAATCTAGCTTCATTGGGCATCATAGGAGACGGTGCACCATCTTTCTCCCAATGGGTTGGTTTTGACAGATAAATCTGTTCAAATTTCAACAAGTGCTTCACAGGCTTTTCTATCTCGCCTGTGGTGTGCTGCGCCTCCGCCTGCAGTTCAATCTGTGGCGAATCCTCCACGATACGCTGAACAGACATTTCAATAAATTCATCAAAACTATCCAATTGCTGTCGTACAAGTCCTTTCTCATCAAAGTATGCATTGATGAGGATCCAACAGGCTTCTTGCCAAAGTTTTGACGAGATTTCGTCTGCTTCTTCCTCATCATATTGATCTAGAATAGATAAAAAAAATTACAAACAAACGGATAATATAATAATAGTTTCAAAAATTTTGAAATTAAAATGACAATCTTAAAAATGAAAAAAAATTAGGAATGGCCTACAGTCATTAACAATAATCTTGAAGGTAATTATTAAAGCTGATCCATTAAAAATCACTCGAGAAATTGTATAGAAACTCATCAGGTAACAGTTTTTCATTAATCAATAGTTATCATTTTAATTGAATAAAATAAGTAAAAACCTGACATTATTTTTGCATCAATCTAATAAAAATATAAACCAAACATATAAGAGGTCACTGCTTAGTGAATGATTATATTATTATTAAATATACCCTATAGATCTGTTTGCATTGCTTGAAATCACCAAAAATATTTGCACTTAAAAGAAGATAAATACTCATTCAGATGTTAGAACAAAAGAAAAAAAAGATGCCGAGTGCAAAAAAACAAGCAAAGTGAATAGACCTTATGTAATATAATGTCATTTTGCTAATTGGTCTTAGATTTATATATTATTTTCCTTATATACCTGCTAAGTCTAGACAAGTATTTAAAATGCTTTTATTTGAAAAACATTATAAGACAAATGTATTTTGTATTTCAGCAAGGCATATAAAATATTTGATATCGTACAGAAGCGTATAAAACTATTTTGTGTTTCAAATACTAAGAATGACAATCGTACCTTTTGCGTTGCTTGCTATACCGCGTTGTTTGAAATCTTCCAAAATATTTTTATTTAAAACAAAATAAATATATGTTTTGAAAATAGAAAATGAAAATTCCAAATGTAAAAAGTGCAAGCAATACAACAGACCCGATTTCAAAATTGTATTTCTCATGCATGAAAAGTCAATAGGGTGCTTTTCAGCTACGACACAGCAATCACCTCATCTTTATTTAACATTAGCGAACGACAAGGATGCAACGATTACCACACCGTATCACTTCTGTGTTTCTTGTTGGATAATAATCTTTATGCGTAGATATTATTTTTTTATACATTAAAATGATCCAGATGACTTATCTCGGTTTAATTTGTTTTTCATCTTTTTCTAATTTTAAAAATTAGAGAAAGATTAACGGTAAGTTAAACCGAGATTAAAGTTAATCTGCATTGATGGAAACAGGCATTATGAACGTATTTCTTATATCGTACATATATTAAAATGTAAATACTCCAAAACACCAACCGAAAATTGGCAACCATAACCAAGAGTATGCTTTTCTGCTGTGTTCAATTGTGCCGTGGCGTGTCGTGGAAAGCACCGCGTTTGACACTGTGTTACAGTGTCTACTTGTGTCGTAGCTGGAAAGCACCCTTTAAACTCTGTATCCTATAACCTTAATTTAATCCTATTACCAGTTTACTTACCATCTTCGAGACCAAAAATATTACTCATGTTTAATGCAGTGATGCGATTTCCAAAATTCCAATCCGCTTGCAGCCATAGCATGCAGCACTCGATGGTAGCGTCATTGGTTGGCGGCCTGGCGCAACCGGTAGCACACACAATTCCACAAGCAAAGCTCGTGTACGTGTGACTTTGTAGCAGGAGCGCGTCGATTATCGCGCTGTCCTTATCTCTCTAATAGTTCCTCCTTGTTCACCTTCGGCGCGCTGAGAGCGAACGAGACAGCGAGAGAGAATCTGAGAGAGAGAATCCTTCTCGCTGACTCGCTGTTGTGCCGTAGCTCGTAATTTCACTGATTGTGAATCAAGCGTTAAGCCGGTCAAGCGACCGAAATGTTTCCTCGGGCGATCGGATCATAACCTCAAGTGAGCTCATTCTCGAGGAGTCGAGCTGACTCGAGCACTCGAGACATCTCGAGACGAATCTCATACGGTTCTGCGCAGATTTCAATTTCCAAATGCAAAATATTTGCTTTTTTTAGTAAGCATATAAAAAAATTATTGTAAAATTACATATATATTAATTATATATATAATTATAATAATAAGATTACATGTATATAATTTAATATTATTAAAAATTATTACACTCTACCATTATCTTGATGGTTCGAGAGCTGTCGAATTTACACTGAAGTTCGGAGTGTACCATCTTTAACGAAAAACGATTGTGTTTAAGGGCCTCTTTCACCAACGCCGATTAACTTTATCGACGATTAGTCCATTGGAATTGATCAATCGCATTTATCATTTAGTTTTGACGACAGACGCGATTGGTCAGACGCGAATTAGATCATTTTATACTTTATCACAAATTTGAAAAAGTAAAGTGTAAAGTATAAAATGATCTAATTTACAAACATTCGTACCTTATCCGAAGCCATTTTTCGTTTATTTTCCTAATATTTATTGCAATAAATAATATTTTCATAATGAAACGACGGACATATTGTACGCTTTCTCGATTTTGCCGCTTGCTGTTTGCTGTTCGTTCGGTTCAACTTCAACGAACTGCGGCAAAATGTATTTTGCGCCGGAAGTGCGTCGTCTAGCTTACATAAAATTCTTAACCAATAGTAACGAATTGCTGCTGCAGCGTGCTGCGCATGAAAAAGCACCTTAAGATTTACGAGAAATTGTAAGTATTTACGAACCATCGTATACTTTACGATACACGTAGAATTACAATTTTATATAAATTTTAAAAGTTTAGAATTTCTGTATTACATAATTTTTTAAAAAATTTTTCTTTCAAATTTTTTACATAAATTGGGACACTTCAAAAAGTACCGAATCTACATTTTTTTTCTAAAATAAGTACTTTATATAAGTAAAATCTGAAATATTTTAAGACTTTAAAAATTTCTCATTCTATAATTTCTAAAAAAAAAAAAACTTATATAATCTGCAAAAAGTTTAAGCTTTCTTCAAATATTTTAAAAAATTTAAAATGTAATAATTTTTAAAAATTAAGATATACGAAATCTTCTTCACTAGAGTCATAATTTGAGAAACGCAATTAAGACATTTTTAATGAAACAATTAATATGTTTTTAATGAAAATATTAGATGCTTATTAATTTTCTTGGTATAACTTCAGCAATACAAACAAATATTAAATACTGAATTTTATTAACAGTTAGTTTATTAATCAATAATTTTAAAATAATTTTGTATTATATACACAAAATGATTATAAGATGTAGAATTTTTGTATCATACATTCTGTTTATATTTCTTTTTGCTATTGTTCTTTATAATATTCTTCTTCTTATAATTCTTCGCCTTGATATGCTTTAACGGTTTTTTTACCATTGGTTGCTCTTTCACCAATTCATTCTCATCCATTGGTTCAATCACTTGTCCAAGTTTGGTCTTTACTGACGGCTGAATGAGTCGTAGATGAGCGTTCATTGGGACGAAGGTCCTACTGATGGGAGCTCTGATAATCGCTTCTAAGTCCTTAACTCTGGTAAACGGATAGGGTAGCTCTTTGACGAGATGTTTCCTCAATTTCTCATTCTCATGTTCGAATACTATGACATCACCCTGATTTTCGGGCTTACGTGGCATTTGTTTAGGAATATTCAGTATAAATCGGCTCTTCTTACGAGCCACTTTACTCTTTTTGATATTCGGTCCTCCCCAGCTTCCCCATCCAGGTAGACTCAGATCAATACTCTGTGGCTGCAACTTTTTCATCTAAAATTTTATTGGATATGATTATTATAACAGGTTTTATAGTTCTTTAAAATACAATATTATTCAATATTTATTATACTTATATTGCATATCTATGTACCAAATTTAAGGGAATTGATTTTTTTCAGAATGTAATATCATGACAATTTATGAGCATATACAAACTATATACCATACATACAAAAGAGAAACATACAATTTTATTATTACATACCTCCTCTTCCTTTTCCTTCCTAAATTCTTCGATAACGTCATCATCCACAAATGCCTCGCTCATTATTCTGTGCGTTTCCTCTTCCTGTTCGCTATCCTCATCCCCGGCTGTAGCCACATCTGGCAGTTGCGTCTTTAAGTGTTTAGGTTTTATATTGACGTATTTTTTCGGATCTATCTCTATTTCGTTACTCATGCCAGCCGGTTCCTGCATTGTATTTGCTATTGTCTTTAATTTCGTCAAATTACTGTTCTCATGAACATTTTCCCTGGAAGTGGTTTCCTCTAATGGAGAATCCAAAATAGGTTTCCGTTTGGGATCTTCAAATTCGAGACTTGACAAATAATCTTCATTTTCTTCCTCTTTCTCTTCATACTTTTCTGTCTTATCACTTGTCTTCAATTTCTTCTTCACGTCTTCCTTTTCTGGATTCAATTTACGTTTTAAATGTTCCTCTAATTTCTTGGATTCGATTGTTTTATTTTTATCGTGTGATTTAGATTTGTTATTATTTTTGCAATTTCCTTTATTATTTTCTTTTTTATGAATTTTATCTTTGATGTTATTTGTATTTTCTAATGAAGTACTGCTTTTCTCACTGCTACAAAATTTGTTTTTTACATCACTGATATTTGCATTTAAAGTATCACTTTTTTCATTGCCACATAATTTGCTTTTTGTATTACGTTTGTTTTCTCGCAAAGAACTGCTTTCCTCATTGCCGTGTAACTCACTCTTTGTATTATATGTATTAGTTTTTAAAATACTATTTTTCTGATTATCGCAAAGTTCATTTTCTGTATCGCTTACTTGTAAAGTACTACTTTTTTCAATATGACTCGTCTCTTTTTCTTTTTCCAGTATGATTTCATTCAAAGGTATGGTTTCATCTTTTTTTATTTTCCCTCCTTTCATCTGCTGCTTTTTATCATAGTATTTCTGACAAAGCTTAATAAAGTCTTCAATTTCAGATTCAGTTTTTATGTTGTTTTCCTTATCATTTACTAATATCTCATCTTCTTTATCTTCTTCATATTCTTTATCCACCACATTTTCTATATTTTCTTCATCTTCCTCAGATTCATCACTGTCTGTTCTCCTAACTTTTTGTGTCAATTCTTTACTAATGGCCAATTGTTCAGTAAGTATTTGTCGTGTCTAACAAAAAAAATTAGTTTTATTTTCTTGTTCTTAATCAGACATTTTTACTAACATTTAAGAGTTTATGATAAATAATTATTTTTAAAAAAATATATATATATTTGAGTATATATTTTTATTAAAATAATTTCTATTAAAAATAAATATTATAATTTTGTTCAGGTTTTAAAATAAAATAATACTCACTTCCTTATTATACTTGGCTTTAATTTGTTTATTCCTAGCCCACTGACCCGTGTTTTTATGTCTTAATGACATTCTCTCTTCAGCACGAGTTTTGTCTAACTGTTCCAACTTTGCCAAGGCTTCCTCTGGATTGCTATCTTTTAATTTTTCAAAATCCTTTAACTGCTGTTTGATTTTATCCTTCCGCTGAATGCGATGAAACTTCTTGCTCTTTATCTTACGCTGACGATGCGCCTTCACCTCTTTATATGACTAAAAATGCAAAAGAATTAAAAGCATTTCTATTAAATCTGTTTATCTTTTTTAGTCATACTAATAGATCACTTAATATTATAACTACATAATATATTTATACCTGTTGTGCCCTTAGTTTGGCAGCTTCTTTTCTCTTCAAGGTTACTTCTTCCAGTGTCATTTTGTACTTATTGTCCTTTAATTCTTCTTTGTCATCAGGATACAGCAATGTTGAATCCAGCTCTTCAAACTTCTTCATTAAATCAGACTTTGTACTGAATCCACTTAGAAATTTAGGAATTTTTGAAGTGTGAGAATCCTTTACTGGTGCTACACGTTTCAATGGAAAAGATAATTGTTCTGCTATCCTGTTTCTGGTTACTACACTGTCCCATTTTTGCAATTCTTCTTTAACCTTCTCGTAACCAACTGCCCTTTTTATCTATAAAGATTTGGACTCTTGTAATTCTTTTTATTTCAAGACTGGATAAATTTCATTAGCAGAATTTCCAATCATGAAAAAAATAAGAATAAAAATAGATAATATTGAAAAAGATTGATGACAATTAATTCAAAATTTTAAATGTAAAACGAGATAATTGTTATAGAAGACAGATAATAAATTAATGGATTAAAACACAGAATCATTATTGTATAATTATAAACAAATATATTAACTATCATGTAAAATTATATTGAATCATTGATCCTCATTGTTTTTAATCTATTGAGATTATTTTTATATAACAATAACATAAAGAAGTTCAATCAATTTTAATTTATGGCTGACTGTACCATCTTTCGGTAAAATTTATCTGTTGGGTAAATCTGACAATCTGTACACGTGATTTGAGTAATCTTGCTATTTACCTAACAGGTAAACTTTACCAAAAAATGGAACAATCAATCCTTATTAATGAGATTAATTTACCCTTTCAGCTGCTGGTTTCTCCAATGGTTTAGAAAGAACTTTGTTCTTTTGCTGAATGTAACGAAGCTTCTTGATGAGGTTGCTCTGATCCTCTTTTTGCTCCAATGACTTGATCAGATCATCCAGTGTGCTTGCAGCACTCGACGGTAGCGCCATCGGTCGGCGGCCTGGCGCAACTGGTAGCACACACAAGCAAAGCTCTTCTTCTTCTTCCTTAAATAATGGCTCTCGCCTTCAAGCCTCCAAGCAATGAAATAGGACGTCGATACGGCCAGATCACGTCTTTAAAGTGAACCGTACAAAAATATGAAAACGAACGGGTGATGCAATCCCCGCGAAAATGGCATTGCTCGACCGGTTTCCGGGCATCTGTGTCTACGGCGTCGTCACAATAACGCAATAACGTGCGTCATAAGAGCCCTAGTCGTCGAAAAGTGCAAAATGACGAACAATCGAGACGAGCTTATCCGCGGACACGCATCTGTGTGATGCAATGCACAGTCAAAGTCGGCAACACTTTCAAAAATATACAATGGAAAGCACCGACCATGTGGTCCACGGAGTAATAAGAAGGAGATCGAGAATAAAGCGGGGAGCACAGACTTTTGCATAACGCATAAAGCATGTGCATAAGGAATTTCATTGGCCCATTTTCTTATGCATGAGTCAATGGACCAATCAGATTCTTTATGTATATGGTTTATGCGTTATGCAAAAGTCTGTGCTCCCCGCTTAAATATGGGCTCGAAACACGGTTTCGGAAAACCCCATGAAAAATCAAGATGTGATTTTAGCGCCATCGTGGGAAAAGTTGGAAGTATTGACTGTCACGTGACATATATTTCGCTTTCTCTAACCTACTACATTTCGATGTGTTTGATGTGTTTCGATGTATTTTCCGACAGGCGCGTTCAGATCAGTTCTTCTATCCGCCATCTCCTTTTATCCGCCATCTTTGGTCCGCTTTGGCCAAACTCTTATTATAGGATCTCTAGTACCCAACCTAACATAACTGACACACGCGCACACACATGCACGCACGCACGCAATCGTAATGTTATTTATTTTTATTAATTATTATTTATTTTTTATTGAAAATTATACATTAATGATTTTTAAATATTTTCTTGTGGAAAAATAATTAATAAGTAGGAGAAAATTAGCGCGGCTTAATGCAAAAGTCTGTGCTCCCCGCTTTATTCATATACCATAAAAATTTCAATATTATGCTCGTGCCATATGTAAATTCTTTGAGCCAATATGGCGTCGCTTATATTAATCTTGTGATTGGTTCACGTTTTTATGCTTATGCGGCTATGCACAAATTTGTGTGGATATACCTTTACCGCGCGCGGTTCCTAGTTACTTTACCGCCTACCGCGTACCGCGCTGCATGTAAAATCACCCTAAACTGGTGTAAACCATGATGTAAGATATACATCATGGTGTAAACATGACAGGAGCCAAGAAGAAGAAGACGGTGTAAACATAGTCAGTAGGTCTGTTCGCGTTGCATGAAATCTCCAAATAATTTTGCACTTAAAATGAGATAGATATATATTCGGCGTTAAAAAGAGAGAAAGCGAAGATGGTAAGTGCAAAAAGTGCAAGCAACGCGAACAGACCTAATGTTGCATGACAGATTCTTAATAAATTTACCCGATTCCTGGATGATTATCAACTTCAACGATTAATATCATAATATCTGAAGTTCACAGTGCAAAGCCACGCTTTTTTTTGTTAAATTTTTACTTACACGATTAAGTGTTTTTATCGCAGTTTGTGGTGACCGGGATACTCATTAATCTTTACCAGAAAATCTCTTATTATTTTTTTATATCTAATTGTATAAATCTGTTATTTGTTTATCTGAGTGGTTACTGAAAATATTACCCCATTATGACTACCGACATAATGGCAACATTAAAAGAGCCAAGAATGATAAAAGTATGTGCTCCAATGGTCAGATATAGCAAGTAAGTAGAAAACAATATTTTCGTTAGTTTATTATTAGTGTATTTTTCTTACTATAGTCAACGCTTCTTATTTACGAACAACTTGTGGAAGACAATTTATTTTCAAAATAGTGAACGAAAAATAGGAGATATTTTTAATTAAAAAAATATATATATCAATACAATTAAATGTCATCAAATATTAGACATCCACAATCAGAATTACGCTGCTGGATTTTATACTCAGTGAGATTCTAGTTTACAATTTGTATGCCATCTAGTTAAATAGATATGCCTGTAGACGATACATACTTACACAAATATTCCAACGATTCTAAAACATCTAAGTTGAACTATATTGACTTCTTGTTTTTTGTAAGGTTACAGTTCAGAACACTTGTGAGACGATATGGATGTGACATATGCTTTACACCCATGATCTTAGCAGACTCATTTGTGCAATCTTCAAAGGCTAGAGATAATGAATTTATCACGCATGAAAATGATCAGCCACTAATTGTTCAATTTGCAGCTAAAACTGTAAATGATTTTGTTGATGCTTCAATGATGGTTGCACCGTAAGTTTATTATGAATTAGTTTATATACATCTGTGATTTTGATAGTATGGCTCTTGTCTTTTTTACATTTTTGTATTCTTCTGATTAACAGATATTGCAATGGCGTAGATTTAAACTGTGGTTGTCCACAGCGTTGGGCCATGCAAGAAGGTTATGGGGCTGATTTATTGAGAAAACCAGAGCTTATTAAGGATTTAGTGTATCAAGTTAGAAATTGTATTCCAAAACCATTCACTGTTTCTGCAAAGATACGATTGTTAAAAGATATACATAAGACAATAACATTGTGCCAAACTTTGGAAAAGGCTGGTGCCTCATTCTTAACAATTCATGCAAGGACGCCTGAGATGCGTAATGAACCAATTAATTTAGATAATCTTAAGCTTCTCAGAGATTATGTACAATTACCTCTCATAGCAAACGGTGATGCAAAAAGCTTAGAAAGTGCCGAATTCTTATTCAAAGAATCCAGATGTGAGGGTGTAATGTCTGCTAGGGGTATTTTAACTAACCCAGCATTATTTTCGGGATACTCTGCTACTCCACTCGTTTGCGTTCAAGATTGGTTGGATATTACGTCAACTATATCAACTGAATTTCAATGTTTTCATCATCATTTGGTATTTATGCTAGAAAAGATCTTGCCAAGAAAAGATCGAGTGTTATTTAATAGTTTGCAAAATAAATCATCTGTTCTGGAGTTTCTAGAGAATTATTACAACATAAAACCAAACGCATCTAATTCGACAGAATTGACTAGGTGTAATTTTAATACTTCGCACGTGCAACGTAAAGAAAAATATTTAAATTGTTGGGAGGATGATTCTACTGACTTTTTAGGATGTATTTTTAATACGGATTCATAAAGAAAAGTTCAAGGAAACGTCAAGCCGATATTCATAATTGGATTTTATATTTAAAATCGTCTTACAGTCTTAAAATGTGAATCAATATCAAAGGCTGGTATTCATAATTGGTTCTTATTTTAAAATCGTCTTAGTCTACGGTCCATTATTATTCCGAATGCTACAATCTCTACGTAAATGCTCCAGCCAATTCACCTTCCAAAGGCAGCGGGAGCAAAAACGATGACGTATCATAGTTGCTGGAAGAGTTCCGAAGCGTCAATTGGATCAGTTAGTGCTACAAATTCTCTGTAGCATTTGAAGTACTAAGTGGACCGCAGCCTTAAATGATCTCTTAAGATGCTAACCCTCTGATTGGCTTATGACATTTTAAGACTGTACTTAAGCCAACCTCAAGTATAAGAATCAACTACAAATACCAACCAAAGTCAGTTCTTATATTTAAGACTGTCTTAAGTATAATCTAGAGATGTCGCGAACCAATCAGAGGATCATATTAACATCTTAAGCATTGCTTAAGACAGTCTTGAAATAAGAATTAAATACTGTCCAGTAGCATCTTAAGACATTACTTAAGATGGGGTCTTAAAGTTAAAACAAATTAGGAATACTGCCTTCAGCCACGTAAAGTTTCGCACATGGTTTATGTCTTATGAAATAATAAACTTTTGAAAAGCCCGCTTTACGCCGCCATGTTATTATTTAGTTCCTCGGATATACATAGATGGCGGTAGAATATATTAAACTTTCGAAAAAGGACAGAAGATCCAGTTTTCTTTCATCAACATTCTTTTTAGTTTGTTTCTCTGTTTGTCGATGTATTATTGTATTAATTTTTATTATTGACGTTTGTAATTTTCTCAATATATTTCCTTTAACAAAAACTTAAATTAATTATTGTAATATCGTATAAAATTATTACAAAACGCCGAACAGTGGAAAATGAGTTATAATACACGTAAGTCATCCGTCTTGCATTGGCCTAAATATTTTTCACTACTTACATTTGCACTGCTTAATTAATAATTAATTTAACTGATGTATTTGTTTGTTTTAAAATTTCTAACTTTATGATTTGTGGTTCTTAATCTCTTTAATCTTTCTCTTTTATGTGTCAAATAATAATATGGATAAGTTATTTTATCCATTTAAACAAAATAATACAAATATAATTTAATTGGTCATTCTAAATCCAATATGTGTGTGTGTATAGTAAGAAGAAAGAATACTAGCTTAGTATATTTACAGGTCTTACTGAAGAATGTCCTTTAACAAAGGAGAGGAGTTACAAATACAGACTCTGTGGCAATGGGTTGAAATTTATTATCGTCTGCTTTGTAGCATTGACTTTTGCCATTACTACTATGCTGATATTGCAAATTCTTTATACAGAAAGTATACCACAGGTAAATATTAAAAATATAAAAAGACAAGTAGTAATAAAATATTTTAACATTTTAACCCTTATCTTGTTTTAGAGTAATCTTCATAGCATTCATGGAGCAGTTGCCACAGATTATTCTAATTGTTCTCAAATTGGTACAAAAATATTAACAAGATTAGGCAATGCGATTGATGCTGCAGTAGCAGCTACTATTTGCATGGCTGTAGTAGCGCCTCATAAAACTGGTTTTGGAGGGTAAGATATTAATTAACTAATTTTTCTTGTCATTCTTTTAACTTTAATTTTGTTTCTAGAGGTGGTTATATAATGATATATAATTACAAAAATTACACTCATCCAATTGTCATTGATTTTGCCAGTAATACAACCACAGGTAAATACAATTTTGTTCATTGATTTAATATGTATAATTGTAAATAATAAGAAAGTCATATTCTACTTATACAATAGGTTTCTTTGCCGAAGCTGGAATACGTTTGCCAGCTGTATTAAAAGGATTAGAGTTTGCTCAAAGATCATATGGCAATTTACCATGGCGCAATGTTGTCGAACCTATTGTTGAATTAGCTCGAGAAGGATTTGTCATATCTAAGGATCTTGCAGATGAAGCGTCAAAGAATACAGATTATGAAATATTTTCCACTGGTCCTTTAAATCCAGGTGATAAATTGCAATTGCACGAACTTACAAAGATGTTGGACGTTGTAGCACGTTATGGTGCAGAAGGTATAATCTGTTTCACTGTGTTTGCAACTTTTTCAATTGTAGACAATAACTTTTATGCAACCCCGTTTTGATTTTGTTGAACTATATCTATATGATCAAATTATATTAATATTTAGCATTTTTTTTAGCACTATACAATGGTACTGAATATGAAATTCTATATAATACTACTCTCAATGACAAATTGCTGCAACAGTTGGCAAGTTACGAACCTATTGTAACGATGGCAAAAAGCTCAACATTGCATCGTCATACAATTTATTATCCATTACATGCATCTTTTATGCAAGAGCTGATTGAAGCATTGGAAAACCTTCCAATTTTGGTAGATAATGCATCTACCATAGAATCTCAAGCTCTCGTTGCTCAAACATTGATGAATTTATCTTTGCAATCTTCTCAATCTTTGCAATATGGTAAGACATTTTTTTTAACCGGTGTTATGCTGTATATTTCCAGCTTACGTTTATATGAGATATTTATATATTGTTTATGTTAAGCTTACAATTTTTCATGTAAACAATAAGCAATATAAAATATATAAATTATTGTAAATTGAATACTACAATATGGAAAAAGGAAATTCAGTTCTTTTTATAAGAAAATAATTAGGCTATTAAGTAGTTGGCTCTTAAATACTCTATTATTACATATTGTGTTAATTTTTAATATCTAGAGCCCTTTATTATTTAATTATTATTATTCTTATATCTGACTTTAATATTGATGAATAAAAAATATATAAGAGCAAGATAAAAGTTAAACACAGTTTAGTGCAACAATAAAGAACATAGATGATCTATAGATTATTCACACATGAAACAGTTTATATAGTATTTATATTGTGTAGAGAGATATAGATTATTATAATTTTACATGTAAAAACGTACAACCCTGTTGTTAAATCACAGTCGAACATTTTTTCGTATTTGACTATGATTAGTTAATTCGTACAACTACAACCATTTACAATTACGCTTACGCAATTGTAGAATGGGCTTAACTTTTATCAGATCTACGTATAATTTTTTATTAACTTCATAATCGTAATTTTAGAAGTAAAAAGAGAAACATATACCGGAGTTATGGCAATGGATTGGCAAGATAACTACGTTAGCATTTTATCGTTAGTAACAGGAATCAATTATACTTACACATCTATTAGATAATGACTGTCATTGCATTAACGTATTATAAATAATACAGTGGTCTAAGTTCACCTTTCGGCCGTGGAAATAGAATGGATGGGATCCCCTTTTTCTTAGATAATATTGATAACGATGACTTGTCCACGTTCATTCCTATCATTTTTCATCATAATGAAAAATTATGTGGATTACGTGGAGTGTTGGGTTCGAATGATGTTTTTCTTAACGGTCAAATTCTCTACAATCTCATCGTACGTGCACTAAATGTTTCTACTGCAATAGAATATCCCAGGTATATAACAAATTTAATCTTAAATAAGTAGATAAAAAGCATAAGATATATTGATAACATATCAATTTATTTATTTTTATAGATACTATTTTGCCTCCGACGGTATGGTGATTGAAAATAATCAAAGACATTCGATGGAGGCTGCATTGCAAGCTCAACTAGATTCCATAATATCGTCATTATCTCATGACGATATCTCATCCATGAGAAGTGTGAATGCAATTGTTAAAAGGAAAGATTCTCTATCAAGCCACTCGGATAGTCGTGGAAATGGAATTGCATCACGATTTTAAGCCAAGTTTTACGCCTTGTTAAAAGCGTCTACATACAAAAAATCAATAATCTCTAAGAATTTTGTAGATTATATAATGCTGTGATATTAGGAAATAATGTTAGAGACATAGCCTTAAGAATTATATGAATGCTTAATGGAAGTTTTTTTATATTGTATGTAGAAAATTTGTTGAAAAAAAAAACTATGAATATCATACGCTTTAATATTTAAAATATTTAACACATCATAATACTTTTACATTGATATGACACACAAGAAATATTTATACATATACATATGTCGCAAAATTGTTGAATGAAATTTTGCATCAATTTACATGTAAAGAATAACTCACTTTCATACATTATATTCCACATTTTCTTAAAATATTTTTTAAAAAACTATATACACGCTTGTATACAATAACATTTTAAATATAAAAATTTGAATAAAATTGTTAATCTTATTACCGTTGTTATACTTTAAACTGTCGCGTTTCGATTCTGTACTCTTTATTCAATTCTAGTTGCCTAATCCTCGCATAAAACGCACTGGCAGTAAGGACAACGATATTGCTTATCCACCAGAGAAACGATTTCTCTTCGTTAAACCAATAAGTCGCTAAAACCGTTTGAGCGCATGCTTTTGCGGTACCGCTAACATTATGCGTTAATGGAGACGTGACTTTGATCTGAAGGGCAGTGAAATATCCAATGGCAAAGCCAAATATACCACCTATTGTCATGGCACCCCAGAAAAGAGGATGTCCAAGCTTCTCATAATTATATACAGTTGTATGTTCCCCGCTAATTATCATTAACGGGATGAAGATGACAATGCTATACACATTGTTATAATATGAGAGTAACCAGATATCTTGATTTACAATCGGGAGCGTCTGTTTCATACGGATAGAATATAAGGATAACGACAACGATCCAAGCACGCCGAAAAGTGTCCCAAGAATAGATAGAGAACCTGCTACATGCTCCTGATCTACCCCTAACCAGAACCCAACAATAATTACTGCGCAGCATGCTATGCATTTGAAAGACGTCGTTTGTCCTGCAACTTTCACTAATTAGTTTTTCCGTTAATTCATATTCTTTAGCATTTAGTTGATATGTGTAGAATTCTCACCCAGTAAAGTATAAGTAAATATGACATTGAATACCGTCGTTAGCGAACGACCCACATAGTAAAATGCAACACCAACGTATTTTAAGCATAAGTTATTAGTTGCTATCATTGCAGTAAACAGAATTGATAACGGTAGTATCTGTAAAATTTAAAAAATATGTAAACATTTTATATATGTATTTGAGGCTTTCACGAGTATTATCTTCAATTATTCCAGAAGTTTGCGGGTTTTCGCCGTGTTTTTCTTCATTCTTAATGCCGATGTTTTGTGAACCATGCCATTCATTAGGGCGAGGAGTGCACTGATATATCCTTCTGATATAGTATCATGAAGAAAAACAAGGCAATAACCCACAAAACCTGGTATAATTGAACATTTTATATAATTTCATATAAAAATTATCAGAAAGAAATTAAAGTTGTAGTATCTAAAGCTAGACTTAAAGCTGTAGTATATTTTTCAAATATTCTAATTCATAATTGATGTTTTTAGTTAAATTTATTAAATATTTCTCAATTAATCTTTATACAAAGATTTCCCTCAAATTTAAATAATCTGTTTCTAGTTATTTATAATGAAAGTAAAGTCCAAGACACAATTGAAAAGCACAGAAAATAAAAACAGAGAATAACAGATTCAATTTATTGGAAACAATGTATCAAATCCATATATGTACATGGTTTTTGTGCTTTTCAATTGTGCCTCGGGCTGAACATTAGTATCATGCAGTAATATTCTTAAATCAAATTGTATACCTTTTTCAAAGTATCCTTTTTAAATGGGCTACTATTTGCAATTTCAATGCAGTCTGGAAACCATTGAGATATTATGCGTAAAGTAATACAGATAGCTACACTCACTATACACTGAAACCAAGTTACAAATAAAGGAGCATTCAAATTCACAGTGTCACTGGACAGGAGTGCTTTATTCATAAATACAGTCAAAATCGATACTATCCTGAAAAGAATTAAAAAATGTATTTAGAAGAATATCTTTGACTAAAAAATTGTTTATAATTTTGAATTTTAAGAATAATTTTATGAAGAATAGATGTATGTTCTTTGTATCTTAAGAGTTCAACTCACATAAATATATTTAATAATCGATAAAACAATGTATGAGTTGCTCAATGTGAATAATTTTATATCATTTTGAGACTTACCAATAAGCTACAATCACATATGTGATGTATGTATACTTTGACGTCAGTCCTCTTTCTAATTGCATTTTGAGATTTGTATAATTTTTAGAATAATTAATCTCAGCTAAAAATGTGAAATAATTATGCCAAATATCTACTACGATAGTCGAATTATTATGACTGTTGTAAAATAGATAGTCTACATTAATCAGATATGTCAAGATAATGTCTCTTACATATTGCTGTTTACAGTATAAATAATTCCATAAAATCACAATGTTTCAACCAGATGGTAAATAGTTTTGAGACTGCAATTTGATATAATTTAATAAAATGTAAACGCGTATTCTAAATTGCCACATCAATAGGTTTATTTTTTTTTGCTGAACTAAACAAGAATTTTCCTTTTTGCTTCCGCCACAAATTTCAAATATATATCTACTTCTTAAAATACAATAAGCATGTGTACTAATTAATTATATAAAATTAAGCTTGTGTTCTGTTATTAATAGGAAAATTGTGCTATTTGTATGAATTTATGCTTGCCCCATCAGTGTTGATAAAAACATATATATATACATATATCAATCGGTGTATTTTTTGTGAAACCAACGAATCTGACAATTGAAAATATGCACTGTAATTACTTCACGAAACGAAATATTAATAATAAAAATTGAGGGTTTTGGTATGTGCCATCGAATGGTAATTTTGTTTTCGTTAAAGTTAATTATTAGGTTAGGAAATGTGTCATATGGTCGAAATCAAGAAGACTAGAACTAGTCTTCTTGGCCGAAATCATGGTAGAAGAGTCATGTGCGCCAAAACTCGACTGTCAACTCTGAATATCTTTTATCTTCGTCCAACATTTGATGCTCAATAGAATAAAATAAACAGTTATGCGGAGTCTACAATAGAAGTCGTAGTGGTCGTAGGATCTTAAGTCATAGGAAATTAACCAATCACATTCAAATACGAAAAGAATACTCGATTATGATTGATCAATTTTCTACGACTTAAGGACCAATTTCACCAACGTCGGTTAAGCTAACCGACGATTAAAGTATCAACCGTGATTGGTTCATTCTGGTCAAAGACAAATGCGATTGGATAATTCCATTGGAATTAACCGTCGGTTTACGACTTCTATGGTAGACCCCGCATTAAAGTTAACAGAGACGAGTTTTGGAACGCAATCCCATGGTGTAATAAGTACTTATTACACCATGCGCAATCCTGCTGGATTTCTTCGACCATGGATGAAAACTGAAGCATGCGCTATGATAAAGAGAAAAAGTGTAAAATTAAAAATTATACAATTTTGTATTTATAACGACCAATATTAGATTCAAATTGCATATAAAGACGATAAACATAATAGATAATCATATTTTAGATGTAAGTTTAAAAGTTAATTAAATTTCAAATTAATCATTACAAATTAATTAGAAGATATTACAGAAATTTGTAATATTTTTGTTTAACAGACATTGCATGTCTATTGACAATTTTAGAGATTCTAAACTAAATTTGTCAATGGAATCCATTAACATTTTTTAATTATATTGTACTTTCTCTTAATTATTACCTTTCTTCCGTATTTTTATATATTTATTCTAGAAATGTAAACTTATTTTCAACAATCAATAATATTTATATATATTTATGTATTAAAATTTATTAAATATAATGTAATATATTATAATGTAAAATGTAATGCAATATAAAAATATAGGTAATATTAATTATAAAAGTTAATTTTATTTTTAAACAATTTTCTACTCTTTTTACTATTATTTCATTTTATTTATACAAAAAGTTATACATTACATTTTAATTACATATTTATTAATTTAACATTTAACTATATTTATTTTATCTATAATCTTATACTGTATATAATATCGAAATAATACATATTTAGTGCTACTATATATAAAAAACGCAATTATTTTTACTGAACTTAAACAAACAATATAATGTACATTTTAATAACTTGGGATTTACTTTCTTCCCTTTTATAATTTAAAATATAAATTCTCCACTATAAAATATTTTCTGCTATAAAATAATACAGTAAATACATATTAAATTATTTAAAACAATATTATCTCCGAAGTAATTAACTTTTATAATATACATATTCTACGCGATAAGACAGAAATAACAATGGCTCATCTTTATTATACAATTCCTCTGTTAACTTAATTTCAAGCTCGAATGCTTAGTCTAAGTATATATGTACATGTTGTTGATTGCACAATTGATTAAAACCGAGATTCAGTTAGCAAAAAACCTTTATTGTAATTGCATGATAAATGATTGTTCTGTTAATTTTATAACTTTACAAACAATTTACATTTTAACGTTATAAAACTTTTCAAAACAAACTCTGGCTCTCTATAGAATAGTATCACGATTTTAATGCACTTGCTGCAGGCAAAGCCTTGCTGTTCATCTTTCCACACACAATTATATAGACGAGATGAATAAAAATGTAGTTAATGCAAAATTTGTGGGCATTGGCGTTTGGTCAACAACTTATCATCTTTTTAAGACACTCTATAAATTCTTTTACATTACAGCTCAAATAATTTTCTGATGCATTGGCTTTACCATGCGCTGACGCCGTAATCTCATTATTATTTCTTTCAAGTCCATTAAGCGTATTCGAAGGCGTTGAAGCTGTCGTTTCTGAAGTTTAATAATATGGTTCTTATTCTTTAACATTTCTTGATTTTTTATAAGCTTTCTACGTAGTATTGCTGGAGATGCTGGAGAAGCATCATAATGATGATCATGAATTATTGAACTTATAATCCATGATCCAGTATTATTGGACATTGATAACTTGTCTACATTTTCTTCTGTAAAAAAAATTGAAATGATATTGAAAAAGATTATTTTATAATAATTACACTAATTCACACAATTTTTTTTAATTACTTTGAATATAGACGAAGTTTTTCTATATTTGATTCTTATCGAAAATGAGAAAGAATTAGTTTTTTATTTATTCCATTCAATTATATTTTTATTTTTTTAATTCTAAAACTTTTCAAAATTTTCAATATAAGAATATTAAATTTTGTATCTTTGTCGTCGTCGTTGATGACCAATGACCGACACAACACTTAACATGTTAACTACAAAGTTTTTGTAAGACAACAAATTTTTCACCTATGATAATGATTTCACATAGTCTTATAATTTATAATTTATATTAATACATAGTATATAATTTATCCTTATAGATTCTCCTAAATGTATATGCATGCACACATATACATACAGTACGCATTTTAATTGCCTATTTTGAATACTTGAAGAAAAATACACTAAAAAATATTTCAGACAAAAAGTTCATTTACTTTAAATGCACTACAAACAAACCTAAAGTGATACAAGGTCTGGTTTTTATGCACAACTCTCTTGCTTTTGCTAAATATCAAACAAACCATCTCATTTTAAGTTCCAACAGTGCATTAGTTCAACTATAGAAAGCATATCCAAGGTCTATATATATGGTATGTATTGATGGTTACAAACTAGAAATTGTACATGACTTCATTATAAGCAAAACATTTGCTATCACAGAAAAACTTGATATTTAATTTTTCATAACATGGCTCAAAAATAAGACTTTAAAACTTAAAAAATGCATTGTATGGATGATGAACAATATATTCATAATTTTCAATCAAAATTGCAAGGTAACATAACTTTTTTTTTATAAAACAATGTTAAATATTGTTAGAAAACCATTTTTTAAACATTTAACTTTAAATACCTTAAAATCTGACATGCTAGAATTTTTTGGTTTGTTGTAATAACACAATTTAGCATTTAAAGTTCTATAGGAAATACTTACTCCAGTTCGAAGTAATTTTTTGTTATTTTGTAAACTCGTGTTATCTTATTATGTTATTATATACCACTACTTTTATTGTTTATAATAAATAAAAATAGATATATTCTCATTTTAAATATATTCTCATTTATAGAAATATTACTGATATTTTGATCTAAGAAAAAAAATAAATTATGGAATTCTCTAACTTCTAATAAAACTAAAAATAAAAAATAGTTACCTGCTGAATGTATTTGATTTCTTAATTCATTGCAAGAAGCTTGTTGTACAGGGTTAAACTCATTATTATCATTAAAGTGTATCTTTTGATTAAATTCTGTCTCACAAAGAGGAACTGTTTCTGTTGATATAGTAATATAGTTATAAAGAATATAATTTTATTGAATTCTTATTTTAATGATTGAAAAGAAATTCATAGAGAATATAAAAATAAAGTTTTTACCTGACTTTATATTGCTAAAATATTCAACCTTGAATATTGTTGGAACACTTCCCTCTTTTAGCTTCAAATATTTTCCTATCTTGCGAAAACAAGTTTCTTCAAAATGTTCAGAGCATAAAAGACTGCTGCTGTTTGGAGTCCAATTCTTGATTCCAATATTATCAAGCCACTTTTTTAAAAGATCTGATTTGTCTACTGGGAACCTTAAGTTACACAATACAACATTATAATAAAATATTAGTAAATAATATTAAGTTACATGTATAATTATAAAAATTTTATAAATCTTACTTGAAAAAAGAATATCCTGATTTATATATACGCTTGCGTTTACAATATATACAGAAGGAATGGGGAGGATTATCAAAACGCGTTGGAATGCTGTTGGGTTTTAATCGTACTTTAAATGCTGAACGCTCAAAACAATCTTCTGTAAAATGGTTAGAGCATAAGATGGCCGAGTTTGTTGGTGTCCAATTTTTTGTAGGAAAATTATTTATCCACTGTTTTAAAAGACGTTGATCTTTAAGAGGAAACCTACAATTAATAAGAACACACGAAGTAACTATTAAATTTTATTATGTATTTTAGATCAAAGATAACCTTTAAGTTATAGAATTATATAAAGCAATGCAATACTCTTACTTGTGAAATGTTACTCTAGATTCATGAGTTCTTATAGTATTACAAAAGCAACATCGCCTCATTGTCACAAAAATTTTAAAGGAAAAACTTTTTACATAAACAATCTTATATTTCTCTTTTTACACTTTTTTCTAATTTTTCTAGATACTCCAACCAGGATACTAAACCATGGTGTAAAGAACATAAGGTGAGATAAACACACACTTTTGCATAACGCATAAAGGTAAGAACTCATGGGCGCGCCATTTGACGCGCGTGTCACGCGTCATTGGGGAAATAACTAGATTATAGTAACTTCTAGTACTACTACGTTTACACGGTTCAATTTACGTCGAAGTTATGACACCGATGTTATGAAAGTGGCCAATCACAGTCATTCCATTCTTCAAAGGAATAGCTATAGCGGGGAGCACAGACTTTTGCATAACGCATAAAGCATGTGCATAAGGAATTTCATTGGTCCATTTTCTTATGCATGAGTCAATGGACCAATCAAATTCTTTATGTATATGGTTTATGCGTTATGCAAAAGTCTGTGCTCCCCGCTTAAGATTGGCCAATTTCATAACATCGATGTATAACCACAGTATAACTACATACAGTAGCGACAGTAGTTCTTTGATGTCGGTGGACACCGATCACGTGACTGTCAGCCATGTGAGGGTTTTACGGACCTCTAAATTTAAACGAATCAAAAGACGTTGTAGTATTTCGCATATAATGCTATCCAATGCTATTACAGTTCGCTATATTCTTGGTTTTACAGCCAACGAATGCGCAGAACAAAAAAAATTTGTTTAGAAAGTGATGAAAACTGATCCCATTCTTTTTATAATTATGCCATTGTGCCACAGAGCAGTATGTAATATTTCTTTTTGATTTTACTTTATTATTTTCCATTATAGCACGTATAAGTTTAGCCAAATGTCTGACTAGCGGAGCTTCTACCGGCCGCCACTAGGAGCGCCACAGAGAAATCTTTGCATCGCCAATAGGGGAATGCGTGCATATGCATGAAACGGAACGCAGCCATTGAAAGAACAACCCAGGGCTAGAGTCCTAGATATCAGAGAAGCGCAACCGATGTTCCGCGTCCTGATTGGCGTGACTGTCTCAGCCAATCATGACAATCATTTATTGGTATTAAAAATGGCTAACTAATAGATGATTGGTGAATTTCATAGTTGTCTGTAAATGACGCCATTTTTAATACTTTTCTTAGTAGTTTTGCGATACCGACTTAAGCCTTGTGTCCACGATGCTAGAAATCGGTCCGACATCTCGGATGAAGAAAGAATTAGCAAATCACATTTGAACAATTTGGTCACATGACCAATGTAATTGATCAATTTTTCCTTCATCCGAGATCTCGGACCGATTTCTAGTATCGTGGACACAAGGCTTTAAGCCGGTTGCGCTTCTCTGATATCTAGGACTCTACCCAGGGCCTCCAAAATGGCCGTACCAGCGTTAGTAGCGCCTCTATAATATATTCCCCATGTAAATGAACTAAATGCATGGATGCATAAGTATGTACATACAACGTGTATAATTAATTATATATCCCATCAATATATCCTATTAATATTATTACCTTTGCGTGAAGACAGATGGAATAGCAGTCCTCTTCAATCTTCTAGATGATTTATGGGGGAGTATGTCACAATTGTAATAATCATTTTCTGTAAAATGATCACTACAAATTCTCGTTTCCTTATTAAGATTGATAGTATACCCTATGTGACAGTGTATACTATGTAACCATTTTTCTCGTCGTTCCGTATCTATCGGGAATCTAAGAATACATTATATTAATTTCACAATCTAAAATATATTTATATATAATAAAGTATAAAATATAACTATACTTCTTTCATAAGCTTACCTGTGAAATTGTCGTTGTTTAAATAAATAACAACGTTCAATCTTGCATACGCAGCAAGTACCACCCATATTCTTATTACTGAGAAGAAGAAGAAAGAGCAATCCTTGGCATGGGAGAGCCCTTAACTTTATCGAAGCCAATTCTTTGTTTGATTCCAAAGTGATCAAGCTTGCCTGGTCATGTAATAGACCGTGCGTTGTACTTTCAACTCATTTATATGAAACTTTTCTCGTTCTTTCTTTCGATCCCCTCTCTCAGAGTATATGGCTATACGCATGCGCGAAACGAGAGAGAACGAAAAGGCCCAAATGAGTACGTCCTTTTCTAGATAGAATTACTCCCATTCCTTCATGGTGTCGTCGCCTTTAACAATTTTTTTAAATAACTTCTAGCATTATCTTACGTTTAATTGTACGTTTTCCGTGATTAGGGTGCGGTCCCATCACGGAATTAGATACTAATTAACGCAATGCTGAATTGGTGGAACGCTTGTGATTGGTTGTGGCTTCATTCCGCTGTTTTCTGTTGCGCAAATTTATTTCTTTTGCGGATTCCGCCGTTCCTATAAAAACTAATAAAAACTAATTGTGTCGTTGTTGAGGCTGTTAAGCTGATATTACATGATTTTATACACAACGGTATATATGACAGGGATTTCATACTGTCTCCTGATGCTAAATAGCGCAGTGTAATTTGGAGCCGAGTCTCAGGTGAAATAGGATCGCGAATAAAATATTGTTTAGTAATAGTTGGTCCTACTATTTCTATTATACTAATAATGCTTTAAATATTGAGGGATTCTAAATGGATAATGGAATTCCAAAGTAATTCACATATTTTTCCGTATCTTCGGCCAACATTTCCTTAATAAGATTATCGCTTGCTCCTGTTGTTGCTATCTTCTTTCAACACTAAATATAAGTCGCACTCAAAATTGTCGTTTTCTTTCATTTTTAATTGCAATGTCGTATAAAATATATAATTTTGCAATTTTGCGGCGTAGTGTCTACTTTTGAAGTACACACATTTACATTGATTTAAAGACTTTAATAAGATACAAATAATTAAATACAACTTTTTCGACTACATAATTACGAATAATTGTTTATTTACGAGCGTATATTGACGTCACTGACGTACTTGTTTCTCAATTACGGAATTTCTGAATTTTGACGAATGTATAGATACATGTAGGTATTTGTGATTCCGATCCACAGGAGTTTAGTTTCCTATGTCCCATGGAGCGGAACTTGCGAATGCGCAATCAATGCAAGCCAATGACAAACGCTATTCTGGTAGATCTAATGAAAGTGATCTATTGGAAGACTCTTGTGATTTGTGTGTGTCAGCGCTAATTGCGCATTCCGGAAATTCCGCTTCATGGGATATAAGAAAATACTTTAGCGGAACGGAATCAGCGGGATGAAATCACGACCAATCACGAATGTTCCGCCAATTCCGCTAATTCCGCCAATTCCGCACCATGGGACCACATCCTAAGCCTTAAGCCATAAGAAATGGACGAATCATAATCGATTATTCTCCTCAAATTCGACTGTAATTAGTCAATTTCTTATGGCTTGAAGCTTAAAAAAACTACCTATTTATAGATCCGGAGTTAGATTAGCTTTCGACTCACTGACTTACTGCAAACTATCATCTCATTATAGACTCGGACTTTTACATGTAGATTTCAGCCTAAACGATATGAACGTTTGAATGTTTGTACATTCAAAATTGTTATTTTTACCTTTATTTTAGCATTATCTTTTATTGAGTATTTTCTTTCAACAATATTACCGAATGCGAGTATAGCATGGCATGATGGCACACAACGCACTAGTCTGTCATGCTCTAGATCTCTGGTATGATATCCCTAGTAGGAACCAAAATATTTACGCTTGTGTCTCCTCAGAAAAGGCCGGCAACTTCTCGAGATTATTCTTATCCACAAAAACACCTCTTGAAAATACCGTCGTTCGAAACCAGTATTAACTATATATGCCATATAAGTACTTGTAGCAATTGAATAATTAGCGTGCGCACCATAAGCATGTGAGAGAGGTGTAACATAAGACAGGCGTAAAGAGAACAACAAGATTATCTTGTAAACTACTATGATAATTATATAGACTTATCTGGTAAAACAGGAAATTATCCATATAATGATAAAATGATTATTGCTGGTAAATTTATTTTAAAATTTATACATGATGTGCTACATTAACTCACATTTATTAGAAACTACCTTCAAATCGAAGATAATAATGAAAAAATAATGTATAGAAATAAACTATACGTAGAGTATGATCACGAACGCGCTTAACCCATATTTATCTATACGAGATACAAAAAAGAATTAAGTCAATTATTCTTAGCTCTGATCCATTGCGTTTGCTTCGTTTACGTTACTGCCGGTACAGTCCTTTTGTATTATTTCGAAAAGCGGCAGCAGTTCTGGCGCAGCTTTTATCTGTCCGACAAATTCGCTCAACGATGGGTTTTTATCTGCAAATATATAAACAATATATAATTGTCATAAATTTTTCATATTGTATGTAAATTAAAATAATTGTGTTAGTTAATTTCGAACCTGATGAATACATAAATTTATAATTGAGCTACAAATTGTTTATTCAAAATTTTTACATTAAAAAAATTATCATAGAGCAAAGTGATCTAAATCGGACCTATTTACAGTTTTTGTTCTCTATAAGGTGTAAATAAAGTCCGATCATAAAACCAATGGTGCCGTTCGAAAGATCATTTATTTTTCTTCATTTTTGCTTCAGTAGATCATTTTGACGTATCTCTTACCTGTGTCGAACTATAATGAAAAATGTAAAAATGCATTTTCCGGTCCAAAAAGGAACCATGAGTTTCAAATTGGACCTCTCCTATTTTTATGAATTTTTAGATAGAATTTTAAAATATTTTAATTAATTTTTGTTAGTATTGAGTAAAAACGAGAAATTTAAGACTCAAAGATAAAAATACAGTTTATATTATTAAAATTAAAATAAATAAAAAATTCCATCAATCAGAGTCTGATGACACATGATATTTTATTGATTTAGTGTCCCTTAGACCAGATCTGGTCGGTCGATTATCAGTACTACAATCAGGGTGTGGCGAATCTTCTTTCTTTGATGAATTAGCTGGCTTACTCGTCTTTTTAGTGTTTTTTGTATAGATCTGATTTGGATATCCAAAGAGAGGTCCGAT